GATATGACGAAGAGGCAACGGCGAGTGTCCCTATCTATCCGAGTCCTTACTGTCCCGTTTAGTCGGACAGCGCACAAACGACTATCTACTGGGATCCAGTCTAGGAGAGATAATTCTGCCCTAGGACTCAACGCTATGCCTACACCAGCAAGACCCCTGGAAGCAGCATCAGGGCTACCGGATACACGAAGAGTAAATCGAGCTGCTTCTTCGTTTTGACAAGGTGGAATCAGGTTAATGACTTTACTAGGATCCTGTATGCGCGTTTCCGAGACGCAGCATACATCGATGGCACGAGTTTCTAAAGTCCTAGCTAATGATGCCTGTTGCCCTATTTGACACAATGTCCGTACATTAAAAGCTCCAATATGTAGTCTAGAACGGGGTTTCAAGAGACCAGGAACGACGTTTCGTGATCTCGCTTCGTCTGCATTAGCGGTGCAGTGAGAAAAGGGAGTGTGAGTAGAGTTAGTTGTAGAGATAAAAGAGACATTAGGGGGTGTAGGAAGGATTTGATTTCGACCAATTTGGTCTCTCGTGCTGTTATGGATATGAGGGCGGTTGTCACTTCCCGGCTGCTTACACACCGTGGAAGGTTGTTTCTTGAGGGACCTGAAAAGGAAGATGGATTAGTTTTGGTGCGTGACCGCAGAGCCCAAGGGACAACTGCTTGAGGCCGGTCACGCACGGCCTTTTTATGAAAGGTATTTTGAGAATTAGCTCCGTTCTTAAAGGCCCTTAGTGGGCACCCTTACCCAAGGAGACGGAAATCCGTGAGTTAGGGGGAGTGTGACATTTTTAGGGCCGACCTTTTCTAACCCTTCCTTCTTTGTGAGAAGGCAGCATCGCTGCAGATGCTGGTTGTTCGAGGGAAACACCTTACTGCTGTCACACCCCTCTATCATAGTCAGCAGTACGACTTCGCCCTCAGACCTTGAATAGCTGCTTTTAGTCTCATCGTTCTCCAATCGACCAGCCTGGCATGGTAGGACCTGCAGGAACATATGTTCCAGCCAGTATAGCTCGGTTGGGTCATCACGATAGGCAAGCCCGACCACCACGTCAAGGTAGCAGCTTCGGTCGGGTCAGCCGTAACAACACTTTAAAAATACAGAAGTTACAATTTACGACACAGCACTTGAGTACCATAAAAAAAACCCTAATGCTTTCTACAACATTTTAAGGCGTCGTCAACATCAATAATCCATGGCATCAGTCACATCATCGGGATTGACGATTTGTATCGAGTTTCAAAACGCACACACGCACACAACCACACACACACACAAAATCAGATAACTGATATGAAGAATAATAGTTTTTTTTACAGTCAATTGCGTTTCGTTTAACTACATAACATCAAAACATACATGCATTTGATAATGTAGAACAATGTGACACCAACCAAATAAGTAGCATACATAGATTATATATCATAACTAGTGTATTGCTTTTTTTTATTATATATGTGGTAGGTAAAAACACCAACCAACCAATCAACCAAACAAACGAACAATCAGTTATCATTCTTCAACATTGAATTCAAAATTCAATATTGAAAATTGAAAAAAAAAACGAAGAGAGAATAAATCATTTCAGAGAAGATGAAGAAAAAATCAAATATGGAAAAAATCAAATTAAGAATTTACAATTTCGTTGGTCAGTCAGTCGATCGATCGATTGATTGGTTGATTGATTTGATTGAGAGAAAAAAAAACAGTTTATTCATATTCAATGTGTGCCGAATAAATTTCATTGATCATTTGATTATTGCGAAAAAAAATGTGACGATTCAGTTGACAAAAAAAACTAACATGAATTTTGATGTGTATAATTTTGAGAAGCAGCCATTTTATGCTTGCTTTGATATAGTTGAGTGAGGAGAGTCGGCTCTCTGTTTCTTCAAATGCTTTTTTCTTAAGTAGTCAAGTACGCATAGCTATTGATTAACACAGAAAAGTCCTAATCTCAGTTTCAGTCAGTGTAGACCTTCGTCAGTCAGTCAGTCATTCAGATGCAACGTAGAACTTCGTACGTATGTACATGTAAGTTCATGTTACCATACCACATCAGCACACAGATGTAATTGTGGATTCAAATACAATAGTAGAAGAGGTAGTAAGGGAATTAGAAATAATCGAAGAGGTTAGGATTAGAAGATACTACTCAAGAAGTATGATTCAGTGAGAAAAGTTTAGAGAGTCGAAACTAGAGGTGTTGACGAATCCAGAAGATTAGGATTTGAGAGAACACAAACAATAAATGCATCGGCGCAACTGCAAACGGTTTTGAGCCATGTCATTCAAGGTCTCTAGCCATCGATTATTATCATCTCGCAGACCCCAACCAGGTAGTCGACAACTACCGACATGGCTAAGTCCACTAGTCAATGACTTGATGGATTTCTACCATATTATGGTTTGGCCACCCCTAACTTTTTTCCAACCTATTCCTACACTACAAAACTAAGCTCGACGTTGCAGTCGGTGGTTGGGCATACGCAACACATGTCCCAACCACCTCAACTGGTGAAGTTTCAATACTTCATCGATTGATCTGCCATTCTTACCTAGCACCCGATTCCTAATAACAGCGTTGCTCACTCGGGTGTCCCACGATATACGAACAATGCTTCGAAGACACCTATGGTCGAAAACCAGTGACCTAAGAATATCTTCTACTCTCACTGACCATGTTACACAGTCATAAAGTAACACGGAGCGAACTACTGCACAGTACACTCGTCCTTTAGTCAGCAAACGGATATCTCAACTACGCAATAAGTGACGTAGGTTGGAAAAAGCCAATCGAGCCTTCTGTATCCGAGCTGAGATTTCGTCAGTCACCAGGTCATCGGCACTGATCAGACTCCCCAGATAAGTGAAGCGGTCAACACGTTCGACCACTTCACTCCCTATCACTAGTTCACGTGGCGATGCAACCCAATCTTGAAGCAACATTTTGCATTTCGAGGGTGAGAACCGCATCCTGAACATGCTTGCATTGTTGCTTAGAGTAGTCAGAAGACTCTGCATTGTGTCAGCGTCTTCACCAAGTAGGACTATGTCATCGGCATATTCTAAGTCAATAACCGTAGACCTTCGTAGATAAGTACAGAAGTTCCAGTTGTCATAAAACATTAGCACAAAGACGCAAATGACAGTTCAAATCCCATTGTGGTATTAGTGGTAAAAGAGAAGATTAGGGTTATACGATATTATTCAGTGAAATAAATTCAAAGCGAGGAAGATAAAGGTGATGAAGAATTTAGAAGATTAGAATCCGACAGAACACAAAGAGTGGATGCACCTGAGCCATTACAAACAATTTTCAGCCATGTCGTTCAAGGTCTCTAACCGTCGGTGACTTTCGTCTCGTGGACCCCAACCAGGTAGCCTACATATACCAACATGACCAAGTCCACTTGTCAGTGACTTCATGGATTTCTGCCATGTTTTCGTTTGTCCACCCCTAGCTTTCTTCCAATCTACTCCCACACCACAAAACATAGCTCGTCGCAGCAGTCGGTGGTTAGGCATACGTAACATATGTCCCAACTATCTCAACTGATGAAGCTTCATTACTTCATCCATTGATCTGTCATCCTTACCTTGTACTCTTTTTATAACGACAGCATTACTTACTCGGTTGTCCCAGGAAATACGAGCAATGCTCTGAAGACATCTATAATCGAATACTAATAACCTGTGAATATGCTCAACTCTTACCGGTCGTGTTTCACAGCCATAAAGTAGGAAGAAGCAAATCAAGTCCTAACCACTGACCTTTTGAGGTGTGGGATGTTGTTTACGAAATCGAGGAGACAGATAGCGAAGCTTCAGATAGGTTATAGTAGGTACAGAGGGTTCGTATAAGGGAGTCCGGAAACCCTGAATTCGAAACGAGTGGTGTAAATAAACTCATCACGGGATATAGAAGCCGTATGGTCGAGGCTATGCATTACGACCTCAGAACCACAGAGCCTCTAACTAACCTGGACAAGTTTTTAAATCATTTTAAAGAAGTGTATTCACTTTGAATTTTGTGGCTCAGCATATTGCAAGAAACACACACTAAGTCGAGTTCATAGAGACAGACATGAGAAGAATGAATAAAAATTGGACAGAACTAGAAAGGGAAGCCCAGAACAGTGCAGGTTGAAGAATACTAGTCGGCGGCCTATGTGCTCCCCCATTAGGGATAACAGGCGCAAGTAAGTAATAATGCATTATTGATCTATATATTCTGTTCTCTGATTGGTTGAAATTTCTCAAGGTATCTGTCAGTGGAACGTAAATTGGATTAAAGCATGATTGCGTTTTTGCACGTTAATTGGCTCTTTCGAATCCAATCAGCGCTAGCCAATGTTTTGTCTCCCATTTTAACCTTGTTGTTAGGATATAATCTATTTCTTGTTCAACCGTGTTCCAATTTTGAGAGAACGTCTCAAGTGAATTGGTGTCCGAGAATACTAAGCAGTAGGAAAATAGCTGAGTTGTAATATAAAGAGAGAACTATAACAATATCTGTTAGACTTGGTTCAAAGGTCGTTCATAAATTCTAGTCTCACCATATACAGATAAACAGATACAACACAGAACTCCGTACGTAAGTTTCCTTCGGACAACCAGCATCTACAGCGATGCTGCCTTCTTACAAGGAAGGAAGGGTTAAAAAAGGTCGATCCTAAAACTGTCACACCTCGCCCTACCTCACGGATTTCCGTCTCCGGCGGTAAGGGTTGCCTAATAAAGGCTTTTAAAAAAGAGCGGAGCTAATACTCAACAAACTATTCATAAAAAAGCCGTGCGTGACCGGTCTCAAGCAGTTGTCCCTTGGGCTCTGCGGTACCGCTCCCAGGTCTCTATGACCGACACTAATCTACCTTCTTTTTCAGGTTCCGCCCTCATACCCGTAACAGCACATGAGATCATATCGGTCACAAACAAGTCTCACCATAAATTAAACACAACAATAAGAAAATCAAATTTACCACTTACTTGCTGCTTTTATCAATTCTGAATGAAATGCAGCCGCTGCTGTAGCGGATGTCGATGATGTGAATGATGCCGACGAAGATGATGCCGATGACGACGATGCGGATGATGATGTTGACGGTGATGATGACTGGCTGAGAGCAGCAGCTGCTGCTGCCGCCGCTGCAGCTACAGCTATAACAGACGGTGATGATGATGACGATTTGTGTTTTACAGCGAAATTATCACAAACATTGAAATTGGACAATGAGCATGTTGATGTTGATGAATTAGGCGTTGGAATTCTATTGAAAGGCACATATGGTGATGATGGTGGTGGTGGTGGAATAATTGCCGATTGTGTTGATGATGATGATAGCCAAGATGGTGTAGTAGATTGTAATTTTGGACTAGGTGAATGAGAAGATGAGACAGCTGCAGCAACTGCAGCTGCTTGTAATGCTACATTATAAAATGGTCCAGCCATAAAAGCACTTAATGATGGATTGAATCCACTGAAAGTAGGGAATATTGGTGAGCCACAATTAGTTTGACAATCTGAAACGGATTGTAACTGTGAAAGGAAATAAAGGGAGAGAGAGAGATTAAAACAACACAAATACAGTTCCATTGAGGGGTTGTTGTGAAAATTGTTAAGTTTTATTCGTAACCATGAATCGATCAATGTTAGACCACCATTAGAAACCCGGAAGCACTGGACGGCCGTTTCGTCCTGGTATGGGACTCATCAGCAGTGCGCATCCACGACTCCTGCACCCCGCAGGATTCGAACCCCGGACCGGGTGCAAGAGTCGTGGATGCGCACTGCTGATGAGTCCCATACCAGGACGAAACGGCCGTCCAGTGCTTCCGGGTTTCTAATGGTGGTCTAACATTGATCGATTCATGGTTACAAATAAAACAAATACAGTTCGATCAAAGGTTTTTTTATTTAAGTATAGAAGAAATAGTGAACAAGTTAATGTGTTTGAAATATCAATGAGCATCTGTTAGTTTAACTTCAACTGGAGCCCATCAAGGGCTACTGCCAGTCCCAAGACTGGATAAACGAGGGTTGGGTACAGGGTTAGCGACCCCATCCCGTAAAACACGAACTCGCTAGAAAAAACAGTGATACTCGCAATCGGAAAGTTTTCATTTAGGAAAGTGTTATAACGTCTCATAACTCAGCCTGGATTTTGTCTGAGGCTACTGCCGGTCCCAAACCCGGAAAAAATAGGGTGAGGGTTGAGCATGGAGTTGGCGACCCCATCCTGTGGGAATTAACTCGCTAAAAAACCGGTAACCAGAAAAAATAATTCAAATTATCTTAACTATTCATTCAGAAGAGTCATGACGTATCATGATGAAAACTGAATCCCTTCGGGAGTCACGAGACCGACATGCTTTCTAACAACCTGAACAATCATTAATTTAAGGTACATGGAATGTTCGTACACTGTGGTAGATTGAGAGAGAGTCATCCAAGTTGCTGCAGAAATAAAAAGATATAATCTGGAAGTGCTTGGAATCAGTGAAACACACAGCTGGACGCAGGTTGAACTGAGGAGAAAGGAAGGTCAAGGACAGAGTAGGTTTGGAGAATGCTTGTCACCGGCTAATGCTTAATTGAGAAGTCCTAGCTAAGGAAGCCTGTTGCCCTATTTGACACAATGTCCGTACATTAAAAACTCCAACATGTAGTCTAGAGCGGGGTTTCAAGAGACCAGGAATGACGTTTCGTGAACTCGCATCGTTTGCATTAGCGGTGCAGTGAGAAAACGGACTGTGAGTAGAGTTCGTTGTGAAGAGAAGAGAGGTGTGTGTGGGTGTAGGAAGGATTTGATTTCGATCAATTTGGTCTCGCGTGCTGTTACGGGTATGAGGGCGGTTGTCACGTCCCGGCTGCCCACACCGTGGAAGGTTGTTTCTCGAGGAACCTGAAAAGAAAGGCAGATTAGTGTTGGTCTCGGAGACCAGCGTGCGTGACTGCAGAGCAGAAGGGAAAACCGCTTGAGGGCGGTCACGCACGGCCTTTTTATGAGAAGTTTTTTGAGTGTTAGCTCCGCTCTTGAAAGTCCTTAGTAGGCACCCTTACCGCCGATAAAGGGAATCCGTGAGGTAAGGTAAGGTGTGAAATTTTTAGGGTATCGCTGCAGATGCTGGTTGTCCGAGAGAAACACCTTACTGCTGTCACGCCCCTCTGCAGTCAGCAGTACGACTTCGCCCTCAGACCTTGAATAGCTGCTTTTAGTCTCATCGTTCTGCAATCGACCAGCCTGACATGGTAGAGAACCTTCAGGAACATATGTTCCAGCCAATATAGCTCGGTTGGGTCATCACGATAGGCAAGCCCGACAAGCACCACGACAAGGTAGCAGCTACGGTCGGGCTGCTAGCTCTACACCATTATAAAAGTTAATCAGAACCCTGACGTCGCTATTCTCTCAAAAAATCAAATGAATTCGTTCACAATGAATAAATAAATCAATAGTCAGACAGAAAATCTTATGCACAAACAGAGACTATATACTTATTGATCCATGCATCCATCCATCCATCCAACTATTCAAATCTAACCTTTGTAATACAAGAAGAAGAAGAGAGAAAAACACCAGCCCTCTTTTTTTCTCTCTCCCTACACTTTGATCATTATGCATAATGATGATGAATGATGTGATCAGTGTGAAATAATCGTGTTGCTCTTAAGGTAGATTTACAATCAGTATCACATGTGTAAAACAATGTTCACCTGATTAATGATGACATAATATTCTGGCAATATTGGACATCTTCGGCTGTTTTTAGGAATTATGCAACATGATACTATTCTATGATATTTTATTGATAACGAGACCACTATTACTACTACTCACACTACTGCTACTACTACTGTTAGCAAATAGAATTACGTATGAATATGTGCAGAATTATTTAAGTCAGTCAGTTACACCGTAGAACTTCGTACATTAGCACAGAGATGCAATTGTCAGTTCATATCCCATATTGGTAGAGATATTAAAAGTATTAGCAGTAATGGAGAAGATTAGGGGGCGAAGATATTATTCAAGAAGTATAATTCAGTGAAATAAACTTATAAAGAGAAAGATAGAGGTGATGAGGAATGCAGAAGCTTAAAATTTCATAGAACACAAAGAATAAATGCACCAGCACCATTGCAAACTATTTTCAGCAATGTCGTTCAAGGTCTCTAACTATCGGTTACTGTCATGTCGCGAACCCCAACCAGGTAGTCTACATCTACCAACATGACTTTGTTCACTTACTTGTCAATGATTTCATGGATTTGTGCCATGTTTTGGTTTAGCCGCCCCTAGCTTCCTTTCAGCCTATTCCTATTTAAGTAGTCTAGTGTAATACTCGGTGAAAACTCTGATTGCTTTTTACAGAACTAAGCAAAAGAAGAACTAGACATGTTTTTTGCATGGTACTGAAAAATAATGTCGTATACCTTCATCATCACCTACCAACAGGGTTCGATCTCATCGCGGTCGATCTCTTAGGATAATTGGACTGAGTTTTCAATTTGAATTAGACAGGACAATTTTTACACGTTCAGTTTATTTATTTAATGTCAGACGTACTTATTTACATCTGTTACCGCCCCCACCCCCATACACACTGAGACTTAGACCGCCGATTAGTATTCTCCAACCAACTCTCTCCTGGCCTATCCTTCCCAGTTCTATACAATTGCTGTTCGTTTTATTGATGTGTGTTTCCGATTCATGGCGTAATGTGTTTCTTCGCCTTCCTCTTTTCCTCTGGCAGAGGGGATTCCACGTGAGGGCCTGTCTTGTGATATAATTGGCTGCTATCCACAATGTGTCTTATCCACTTTCAGCGCTTCTTCCAGATCTCCCCTTCCGCTGAAATTTGATTTGTGTCCTCCCACAGTAGATTTTTGCTGATGGTAACTGGCCAACAAATCCGAAGTATTTTGCGTAGACAACTGCTAGTAAATACTTTTATCTTGTGGATGATGTCTTGCGAGGTTCTCCAAGTTTCCACCCCATACAGTAGAACTATTTTGACACTGAAATTTCTGACTTTGGTGTTGGTTGATTGCTGTTTTGAGTTCCAGATATTCTTCAATGGTAGAGATGCTACCCATGCTTTCACATGTTCATAAGATGCACCTTGCTCATCAATGATGATGCTGCTGAATCGTGTAAAGGTATCTGCATAAGCTAACCCTTGCTTTTTATCTTGCGTACGTTGAGATCCACTACTAAAGAGGCTACTGATACACTGGCCGTCTTCACTTGCATTTGTTGTTGCGCGTCGGATATAACAGCTTGATCATCTGCAAAATCCAAATCGTCCAGCTGCAACAAGGTTGTCCGCCGGATCCCGTACTTTCTCACACAAATTGACATCTTCATAATCCAGTCGACCACCAGAAGAAAGAGAAATGGTGAGAGAAAGTAAGCAACCTTGCCTGACCCCGATCTTTACTTGGCATAAGTCAAATGTACCTACACCATAAGTAGTCATGATTCATAGAGTTGTACTAATAATTAGTAGTAGTAGTGATTAATAGTTTGATTTGCCAACCTGCATCACTTATGGCGCAGGCGAGATATCCGCTCGCTGACCATAGGACGAGTGTACTGTGCAGCAGTTCGCTGCGTCCTACTGTACGGATGAGAAATATGGCCGTTAAGAGTAGAGGACTTCCTTAGGTTACTAGCCTTCGATCATCGGTGTCTCCGAAGTATTGCTCGTGTATCACGGGACAACCGTATAAGCAATGCTATCGTTAGGACACGAGTTCTAGGTAGGGATGGTAGATTAATAGATGAAGTAATGAAACTTCATCAGTTGAGCTGGTTTGGACATGTGTAACGGATGCTCAACCACTGACTGCATCGACGAGCGATATTCTGTGATGTAGGAGAGTAAGCTGGAAGAAAGCTAAGGCCCGGCCAAACCAAAACACGGCACAAATCCATGAAGTCACTGATAACTGGACTGAGGCATGTTAGTAGGAGTAGACTACCTGGCTTGGGTACGCGAGACGATAGTAACCGGCGGTTAGAGAATTTTGAATGACATGGCTGAGAATCGCTTACAATGGCGCAGATGCATCTATTGTTTGTCTTCTCCTAAATTGTAATCTTCTGAATTCCTCATCACCTTTATCTTTCTCTTTTAAGTTTATTTCAAAGGATTATACTTCTTGAATAATATCTTCGAACCTTAATCTCTTCAATTACTGTTAACACTTCTACTATCTATCAATATGGGATTTGAGTCGACATTCGCGTCTCTGTATGCTAATGTGGTATGAGGCAACTTGAACTCTGATGTAGTAGTACATATGTATTAAGTTCTACGTTCGGCCTGACTGACTGACTGAACCATCATTCATTATCTATGGCCGATAACTGTCTCACTCTTGACACGCACTACTATGAGAGTCTCATACTACTACTACTACTACTACTACTACTGTAGTGAAGGAGAACACATGTGAGGGCAACCGAATTGTATTTATCGCAAATTACAGAGTTACTCAGTAAAAAAGGAAAACCATATAGTAAACAGTTAATTTGCATATCTTCAATCCATCATCAATCTATTGTCTGACTTTTCACTATTCATGCGTTTCATACAAATCGCATTGTGTTCCCACTCTTCCTTTCTCTTGATCTTCCCCCATCTTCTGCTGCCAGACATTACGTTTCCACTCGCGTCATATACTACTTATAAGTAGCGCGCCACACTCGTCCCCGCTTTTAATAAGCTGTCGTCGTAGTCTTTCTGATTGCCGTACCGATGTCATCTTTGGTGCTTTTCGTGATTCATACACTTGATAATCTTGAAACCATCTCTGCAGTTGACTAGCATTTACGCGCTTCTACTTGTCTTCTCTCCGGATCGTGTAAACCGCGCCGCGTCTCTCCACGATGACGTACGGTAATTCACACTTTGGGATCAGCAAAATCAATGGTAACTCTTTCTCCCGATCTCCTCCTTTTGATGCTAACCATTCCTTTAACTTCCGGCTGTTTCTCTCTGTAAGCCCGTTTATCTGCGGATGATACGGTGTAGTTCGTATCCTCTTGATGCCAAACTGCTTTAGACGGGCTTTAAACTCGTCACTTTCAAAACAGGGACCCTGGTCAGTTAATATCACCTTCCGTATTCCGTGACACGTGCACCACACTACTACTACTACTACTACTACAACGAAACAACTGTCTAGTGCTATCAGATTTCTCATAGTTGTGCTAACATCTCCTATTGTATTTTAAAACTCGACTCGGTTTTGTCTTCGAATTGTTTTTTTTTAAATTTTACATACTACTAACATGAGTTGGGTTTTGTTTATTAAAAATTTGCTTGTTTCCTTACAGATCTTCTTTCTGTCCAAATAGACACACACACACACACCCATATGTACATTTATGTATAAATATAGATGTGTATACATACATATCTATAAAAATTATTTATTTGATAAAATTAATTAATTAGGTTGGTTTTTCTTAAAAAAAAAGAGAGAACAATAATAACTGATCTAATTTTTTTTAATTAGTTTATTATTATTATTACCAGTACTAATACTACTAATACTACTGCCGATACTACTGATATCATTATTATTATTATTATTATAATTATTATGGTGTATCATGTGATTAATTGATTGTCTCATCATTATCAAGAATCAGACAAGAAAAGAAATTTATATAAATATATATATACCTATGTCCACGGAAGCAATAACACACAACCCATCTTTTATTCTCTACAAATGTTACATAACTATGCAAAGTGTGTGTGTGTGTTGGTGTGCGTGTGTATTCTGGCCTTTTTACCTATGACTGTCAGCAAGTAAGGCAGTTAGTTAGTTGTCTTCCACACATATTATCTAATTCAGACACTGTACTTCTTCAACATTAGTCTCAATTGTATGCGCAGCAGACTTGTCCGTGTTATTGTTGTTGGTGGTGTATTGACAAATTCTTTTTTTTCATAAAATAAAGTAAACAGAGTCTTCTTTTTTTTCTTGTATTTTGTGTTGTTGTTGTTGGTGGTGTTGTTGTGGATTGTTGGCTTCTTCTTTGCACAAAATCAATTCATTACAACATGTCACTAATGAGTAGCTGATATCATAATACTATCCATACTATTGATGGTCAACCAACAGGCCTGTTGCACATGCACATCGCTGCTTTGATAGGCAACGCAAGGATTCTCATTGTCGCCAACAGTATAATCACCCCTGCCCCAATCGGGAACATACATGTTGTTCGGGTTGGTGTGCAGACAAGTTGGACATCCAAAAAGCACGCACACGAACAGTGGCCCACGCCCGGGCACTTATGAATCAAGAGACCCCACCGACCAAACCACAACCCACAACCCCAAATCGGCGATGGCGGCAAGGCGGGCTTACCGATCCGAATATGGCACCCTGAAGCGGATTACCGAGACACCCAAGCAGTACACTAACCAGCAGCCGTTCCAACCGTCTGGCCTCCAACTGCCCTGCGCTGAACAATCGACCGGAGTCCCAAAGGCCCCACATAAAGATAATGATCGAGTTTGTCCTACAAGGTCAGCTAGAACGTACACCTTTCCATGAGGAAGATGTCATGGACTCGACCAAGCACGAGCGCTCAGCCAAGCAGGGTTCAGCCGACAGAAGTCGGCAGACATCATTGGTGTATAGTACCCTTTCATCACTGAAGCACAGGAACCCAACTGGTGGTTATCTGAGCACAGTTGCAACAGACAGTCGCCATTATCTGTTCGACCAGCTGCGATACCATAAGATCCACCCAGGTGTCTTTCCTATATCAGAGCGCCAAACAATTTGGAGGAGGTCCGACAAGTAAGCCCGACCACTACGTCAAGGTAGCAGCTACGGTAAGGATGTTAATACAACCTATAAACTGATCATTTAAACGAAGGTGATTCAGCTATAAGTTTATTTTACAGAAGAGAGAGAAAAGTGGTAGACGACAGTGCGCGTTTACATACATCAATGAAATAATGCTAACCTTATTATTACTAAAAATAACAATAAATCATTTCAATATTAGAAAATACTCTTACCCGGTTTGTCAACGGATTCGAACATCGTAATCCATGCACGTCCGTATTTAAACTAGTCGGCAGGTCATTATTATTCAATTGTGATCTGTGTCCTTCTGTTGTTACTAGATGAGTTGGCCTAGCAAACACACTGGTGCCACATGAATCTGGTGATGATAACGATGTAGGAGGACAAGAGAGTTGGTGTTGATGTTGTTGTTGTGGAACATCTTGATTTTGTTGATGATGAGCAGCAGCTGCAGCTGCTGCCGCGGCCGCCACAGCCGCAGCGGCTGCAGCATACGATGTAGGATTGACAGGGAAAGACGGTGAACCAGTGACGAATGGCAGTGGAAAGACTAAAAAAAAAAGTAAAGTTTAAATATTACAGATTACTATTGAACATTATTGTTAGTGGGACATAGATGGAATTAAAGCATGACTACGTCAGCTGCCCGCTGATTGGCTAATTTCTTATCCAATCAGCGCCTGATCAATTATTCTTGGAGAACAGGGTGAAAGATTCTCGTATTGTTAACTGCGTGCTGATTGGTTAAATCTAATCCAGTCGATCACGTGAATTACTACTATCCAGAAGCTTCTCATGTAAATGCTATAAATAAACTAACGTTGTATCTATTTTTGCCTTCTTCGCCTTCGCCATCACCTTTGGCTTGTTATTTTCCATTTAACCTTGCTATTTGGAATATAATCTTTTCCTGTTCAACCGTGTTTTCTGATTCTTTGGAACTTGTCCAGTGTATTGTGTGGTCAGAGAATACTAAGCAATAGGATTTAGCTGGGAATTATTTAAGCAAGCGTTACAACAATTATGGACAAAACTAATGAAGTCAGTTAGTTAGTTAGTTAGTCAGCAACCGACGAAGAACAGCGTACGTATGTATATCAGTTCAAGTTAACAAACCACATTTTATCACAAAGAGATTGAATTGTCAATTCCAAATCCCATAGTGGTAGTAGGATTAGGAATAATCAGAAAGATTAAGGTTCGAAAATATTATTGAAGGAGTATAATTCGTCGTACGTCAGTGAAAGTCATGTGCAATTCAGAGATTAGAATTTGGGATAACACAAAGGGTGGATGTATCTGAGCCATCGAAAACGGTTTTAAGTCATGTCATTCAACGTCTCTATCCATCGGTTAGTTGTCTCACGTATCCCACCACCCAACATGGCTCCATTCAACTGTCAAGGACTCCATGGACTTGCGCCATGTTTTGGTTTAGCCGCCTCTAGCTTTCTCCTAGACTATACTTCCTACACACCACAGAACATCGCTTGTCGGAGCAGTCGGTGGTTGGGCATACACGTAACACATGTCCCAACCAACTCAACTGATAAAGTTTCACTACTTCGTCTATTGATCAACTATCCTCAACTAGTACGTCTCCTAACCACAGCATTATTTACTCAGTTGTTCCACGGAATGAATGGATGAAGTCTAAATTTAACGTCGATTAAGAAAGAAGCACACACATAAGTCTTTAGGAGATCAAAACAAACATTCAATCTCTAAATGATAAGTGTTGGGCGACTTAGATTTTTAAAAACAAATGATGACAAATACAATTAGTTTATACACATCAATCAATCATTGTTAGACCACCGACATTAGAAATCTGGAAGCACTGAAAGACGGCCGTTTCGTCCTGGTATGGGACTCATCAGTGGCAGTGCGCATCCACGACTCCTGCAACTTGCAGGATTTGAACCCGGGACCTTCGGTATTGTGCGCGAACGCCTAACCATTGGACCACTGGGCCGGCGGCATCCAACGGTGTTAATGTGTAACTGATTGATCTAGGGATTTTGCGCAACCTCACCCATTTGTCTTTGGTAGTAGTTACTGTCTACACCCGACAGGGATGAACTCCATTGGTCACGTCTTCTCAACTAGAACTCCGAGAATTTCCTCACGAAACGACCGTCCTGCAGTGCTTCCAGGTTTCTACTAGTGGTGGTCTAACAGTGATTGATTGATGATTTCTGCCAACAATTAGTTTAACTCATTCAGATCAAACCAAATCAAATCATTCACATATGTTCAAAATGAAAGGAACAGACTTCAAGTGATCAGGTCAAACGATTACAGTTTTAAATCTGTTTTTTTTGTTTGAAAAAACAAAGTGAGTAACGATTAGAGAAGCATCTTGCATTGCAGCAAAACTTTTTGCTGTCCAATTCAGAATGAACACATTGACGCACACACACACACGGGTGTAAAAATATCTACAGAGAGATCGTACACACAGAGAGTATCCCAACTGAAGTATCATCACTGAGACAACATACACACACACCGGGAGATCACCATTAACCTTTTTCATAAGGAAGAACAACAACAGCCACGACGACGAGTGTCAGCGCATACAAATTAACACACACACACACAGAGCAATAAATCATCCGTGTACAAACAATGTTTGAAATAAAACACCATAGATAATTAATTAACAACACATTTGGAGTTTTCACAAGAAAATAAAACAACAAAACATAGAATCATAGAACGAATTGAAAATAAAAGAGACGAAATGAGAAGAGGAAAATGGACAGTATTAGTATTAGTAGTAGTAATAGTAGAGACAAAAGTACTTATGCATATATATATGGAGAGGGAGAGAGAGGGAGAGCGCACGCGCGCGCGCGCCCGCGTATAAACGATCGAGCACAAGAAGTGACAGGAGGCGAAAAATAGTAGTCATAGTAAAATAAAAAAAAAGAAGGAGACAAGAATAAAGGCGGAGAAAAAAAAAGAAAAAGACAGCGCACGTGTGCTAAATAAGACGGAGAGAAAATGCAGGCAAGCGTACACGCACACACACAGGCGCACACACGATATCGAAGCGGACAATGACAGGAGTACACTAATATATATATGTATATATATACAATTAATCATTTCGAAATTTCGATATTCATAATAATAATAATAACGATGATGATGATGATGATGATGACAACTGGAGAGAAAAATGGGAGAGATAAAAAAAAACACTTAGATAAGTCACATATATTTCTTGTCTTGTCTATTATTATCGTCTCGTTATTGTTGTTTTATGCCTAGTTTCCAAATGGCAGACCAAAAAAGAAAGAATTGATCTCATCATCTAGTTCGACTGGACCAAAACACACACGCACACGCACACGCACACGCATACACACAGAGAGAGAAAGAGAGGAGTTCGCGGGCTGCAATCAATAACACAGGCTACTTTTTTTGTGCTGTACTGTACTGTGCTGTGTTGTGTTTTGTTCTTTGCTACGTTTTCTCCAGTTTGAAAAGAATTTATTATTATTATTATGATCATTATTATTTTTGATACAGGCAACATAAATTATATCGTTTCTTAATTCTTTTCAACAAACGTTAAAGTATTTTAATTTGGCATTGTTGCTGACATTGTTATAAATTCGATTTCAATAGATGCAATCATGAATCGATCAATAATGTTAGATCACCATCATTAGAAATCTGGACAGACAGATACAACGCAGAACTTCATACGCAAGTAGATCAGTTCAGGTTGCCATGCCCCATCAGCCCGACCGTAGATGCTACCTTGACGTGGTGCTTGTCGGGCTTGCCTATTGTGATGACCCAACCGAGCTATATTGGCTGGAACATATCTTCCTGAAGGTTCTACCATGCCAGGCAGGTCGATTGGAGAACGATGAGACTAAAAGCAGCTACCCAAGGTCTGAGGACGAAGTCGTACTGCTGATTGAAGTAAGGTGTTTCCCTCGGACAACCAGCATCTGCAGCGATGCTGCCTTCTCACAAGGAAGGTAGTGGTTAGAAAAGGTCGACCCTAAAAAGGTCACACCTCACCTTACCTCACGGATTTCCGTCTCCGACGGTAAAGGCTGCCCACTAAGAGCTTTCAAGAGCGGAGCTAATACTCAAAAAACTTCCCATAAAAAGGCCGTGCGTGACCGGCCTCAAGCAGTTGTCACTTGGGCTCTGCTTTTACGCTCCCAGGTCTCTAAGACCAACACTAATCTATCTTCCTTTTCAGGTCCCTCAAGAAACAACCTCTCACGGTGTGGGCAGCCAGGAAGTGACAACCGACCTCATACCCATACCAGCACACGAGACCAAATTGGTCAAAATCAATCAGAAATCTGGAAGCACTGTTTTTATGGCTGTTTCGTCCTGGTATGGGGCTGATCAGTGGCAGTGAACATCCACGATTCCTGCACCTCGCAGGATGCGAACCCAGGACCTTCGGTCTTGCGCGCCTTGAACGCTTAACCTCTGGACCACTGAGCCGGTATCTAACAGTGTTAATGACTAACCTCGATTAATGCACGGAGTTGCGCAACCTCATACATTGACTTCGGTAGTTACTGTCTACTACACCGGAACAGGTTGAACTTTACTGGTCACGACTTCCCACTAGAACTCGGAGAAGATTCTTCACGGAGCTAGTCATTAGTGAGCTCAAGTAATTTGCATTACGGAGTTGTGAAGATTGTTAAGTCACACATTTGAAATCATGAATCGAAGGTCCTGGGTTCGAATCCTACGAGGTGCAGGAGTCGTGGATGTGCACGGCTGATGAGTACCATACCAGAAATAAATCAGTTCAATTCTTTGATTTTTTTACACTGTACAACCAGTCAGTCAGTCAGTTACAAAGTGGAACTTCGTACGTAAGTACATCAGTTTAAGTTGCCATACCACATTAGCACAGAGATGCAATTGTCACTTCAGATCCCATAGTATTAGAAGTATTAGCAGCTATCGCGTTCGACGATATTATTCAAGAAGTAGAATCTTGTGAAATAAACTTGAAAAAATAAACTGATGAGGAATTCAGAAGGTTGGGATTTGAGAGAACACAAAGAATGAATGCACCTATGCCATTGCAAACAGTTTTCAGCCATGTCATTTAGGGTCTTCTAACCATCGATTACTATCATCTTACGAGCCCCAACTAGGTAGTCTACACTTACCATCGTGACTTAGTCTACTTATTAGTGACTTCATGGATTTCTGCCATGTTTTGGTTTGGCCGTCCCTAACTTTCTTCCAAACTATTCCTACACCAAAAAACATAGCTCGTCGAGGCAGTCGGTGGTTAGGCATACGTAACATGTGTCCCAACTACACCTCAACTGATGAAGCTTCATTACTTTATCAATTGATATGCCATCCTTACCTAGTATTCGTTTCCTAATGGCAGCATTGCTTACTCGGTTGTCCCAGGATACACGAGCAATGCTTCGGAGACACCTATGATCGAATACTAATAACCTAAGAATATCCCCAAATCTCACCACACGAATATCCTCAACTTTTACTATACAATATTAATAGTGTGATAGGGATACC